AGAGAGAGATGAGAAAGGGAGATAGAATGAGAGAGAGAACGCACCTTTTCTTTCCTCGATTTACAACTGTTGTTGGAAACAATGGCCCCGGCGACTTGGTTGATGATCTCAAACCGCAATACGACGACGCGTGTCGCGACACGCGAAAAGGGAGGTGCCGACGCGTGAAAGGGCAAAAACGCGAATGGAGACGTGGGAGATTGCGACGCGAAGGAGATGGCGAGGCGAGGGATATGGCGACGAGGGAGAGAGAGAGAAGTGAGGCAAACGGCGGGGGAGACGACCACGAGATGGATGTGTCCCTCGGCGACGAGATGGTTGTGTCGCTGGCAGGGGCGGGTGGTCCGGGCGCGCGACGGGCATTTTCGGCCGTGAGGGTTGGCGACACCTGCGATTGCCTGCTGCTTCGGACGATTGCAATCCCCACCTGCAAATTCGCAGAATGGCGCCACCGTCATTCGAATGGCGGATACATCCGAGCGGGGCCCAAGAAACGAAAGTGGGCGGGAAAAGTCACGCCGGATGACGCGTTGGAACTGTCGATATCACGGTAAAATCCGCGCGTTCCCCGATATTGAAAAGTGGGCGGGAAAATTTGCGCCAGATGATGCATTGGGACCGTCAATAGCACAGTGAAAAAAGACCAGTCCTCTCGCAATCACGGCCCGCCCTCCCGCGACAGTTTCGAACCGTGCGATTTCGTGAGGAGGGTCCGTCAAAAAAGGGACCGCCTGATGTCACAGCCCCCGATGCGGCAGTACCTGCGGCGGGCAGCTGAAAGGCCCCTCAAACCCCACTCACTGCACTCTTTGTTCTCCTGTCGGGCACCAAACGAGTGGGGGTGGTTGTCACACCCGTTCGCTGGTGTCATTTCTTCCGTGTGCTGCCTTTGCGACACGCCCGCCATCGCTCGAAGTCGCCCGCATCATATCGCAGGCCCCTTGCGCATCCAGGCCCTCGTTCTTCCAGCAATCGTCGATAGTCGGGGGCGCTAACGAAAACGTCACGCGACTGTAGACCTTTCGCATCGTCCCGTTCGCGCTGTGCTTTCTTGTGTTGGCTGGACGTGTTTGTCGACTCGCTGGTCAGTAAGAAGCCCACGCCCCCTGCTCGACCCCTTCACCATTTCAAGCCCCCACCTCTTCCCATTGCCCTTCCGCTCCTTCGACCGTGCAAGTCTTGTTCTCTGCCACCACTTGCTCCGCCAATCACGCGCGCACGATCTTGAGCGCACGACGCCCACCGATCACAATGACGGAAGACCCCATGCAGTGACACATGCTGACGTCATCATCTTGCACATGACGTCAGCGACGGGCAATGGCTTGCAGCTTTCACAGTCATCGGCCTCGAGTCTTGGCGTCCTCAACATCGATTGTTTGCATCCTCAACATCGCTTGTCGGCGTCCTCACCATCGCTTGTTGGCATCCTCAACATCGCCCTCTAGTCTTGGCGCCCTCCGTCGACCGCATCTGACCCGTGGAGAAAGTCGCATCGCCCTCGACTCTTGCCGTGCTCGACATCGTTTGTTGGTACACTTTCTTGGACCCTGGCTCGCGGGTCGTCCTCCCCCAGTCTACTTAGGATATCGCATTGAAGTCGGTCGTGCGAGTATTCTTCTATATCACCGCCTGCTCCGTCTATCACGCACGAGTTGACATGCGCGCGATCTTCAGCCCACGATGTACGCAGCTCACAACCACGAAAGTTTCATTCCACTGACACATGCTGACGTCACCATCTTGCGCATGACGTCTGGAATTCGAAATGGTCTGCGGCTTTCACAGTCAAGATCGTCGGACGCCTCTGACGACCGCATTTGACGCGTGGACGAAGTTTCATCGTCGTTGCTCCCTGGCATCCTCAAAATCGCGGTATGTGATCACCGCTGCGATAACACATCACCCAATAGACGTCAACACCGGAGACGTCATCTGAAAAACGCGTGTCGATCGACTTTAAGATCCCGTCCATCCATCTCCGGTGTTGACGTCTATCGGACGATCTGTTATCGCAGCGCTGATAGCTGGAAGCCTCACGACAACCGGCACCTCCAACAGGAATCGCCCGTGTTGCACTCACAACCAACAGTGGCCAAGCCACCCATCCACAACGTTCAGCGACGACCCGTTGCGCACAAAGGATACGCATAGCAAATCCGAAACATCCCAGATTACCACCGATCCCGCGACATCCCACCGCCAAGTGCCAACTTCGAGCTCGTTTCCGATCGACTCGGTGATGGAACATGTCTATCGCGGTTGTGGACGACATCAGGATCTTTTTCTTGTTGTCTTGAACGTTCCCTGTCTCATCGCCCGTTCTCGCACACGCAGCTAGCAATGAGGAACCGCCACGCAACCGGGCGCGAGACGCCGGACACGCATCGACAACATTTTGGATATGGAACTAGCGCTCACAAGTTCCATCTCGCCCATAGGAAAACTTCACAGCACCGCCGCCCGTGCGGCAGCCCGTCCCCTCGCCACGATTCATTTTGGGCGAACTCTGACGTGGACAATCCTCGCGACGATTGCAGTCTCGAAATATGAGCTGAATGAACGCACAATGACCTCGTGGAACGATCAGCTCTTGATCCACGCCGATCACATTTCGATTCCGATTAATCGCAGCCTTGTTTTCCAGAGCAGCTTAGGGAGGCGTTCTCGGGATTGCAGCGGGAGTGAGAGAGTGCTCTTCGTGCCACTTGTTCCGGATGGAATTCGGATTCATCCGATCTCGGGATGAAGGCAATAGTAGATGTCATTTGCGATGCCAGTGGTTGGATGACTATGCCCCCCTTACATCCCACCCATTGTTTACACACAACGTTCCCCCATCGAGAGCTCTGAGGCGACCCCCTTTCCATGACAACCCGCCACTCATGACTTCCGTCGGTATTCTTTGTCTCCCACGAGGGGTTGTGCAATTCTCAAGCTGGACGTTTTTTGTTTCGCCTCACTACGGAACGTGTGATGTAGTTCGGATGAATCTGAACTACAACCCTCGGCTCGTGGGAAGTCTCAACGAGAACCGCATCCCTCCGATGTCTTAGTGGAAGGGACAACGACGGTACAGGGGATCGCTTCGAAGTAAACATCTCCAGAAATCATGACTCCGATAGCTCCCCATCTGCTTTTGCCTTCGTTTGTAGCTCGGATGAATCCGAACCACAACCACAAACGACTGACGGACGGCTGGCGTGGCTGTTGTCAGTGTTTATTTTTTTTGCATTGGGTTGTGCAATACTCACATAGGACATATAAGTTCCGCGTCACTCCTAAACGTGTGATATAGCTCGGATCAATCCGAACCACATCCCTCACCGCATCGGGAGTCCCGAGGTGAGTATCACACCCAGTGACGGGAGGTCTCATCGGGAAAGGAAACGGCGGCACACGCCACGCATCCTGAATGCAACATACAATAACCGATGGTGGGCACTCATGGCATTCGTTGTTTATTTGTCCTTCCGAGAGGCAAAATGTGAACATTTCGAAGGACGTCTGGGTACCGATTGACTGAAACCCTTTGCTGTGGTCCAAATAATTAATCTGAACCTCATATCTCGACGGCGATTGCGTCTGATTTGTCTGGCACTCTTGGCTTTTGTTTTTTTGCAGATGAGGCAGTAAGGCAAACATCGGAAAGGACGTGTTGCTTCCTACTGGCTCCGACTTCGATTCCAGGGGTATCTCATCCTTCTGCCACATCCCTCCGAGTGAGGCGAGGTCGCTGGGCGGTGGCTCGGATTAATCCGAGCCATGGACGGTCGCACGACATCCCATTTAATTTCTATCTTTCCGGGGCGGTTGCTCGGATTGATCCGAACCACGGACTGGTAGGCATGGATGAGCTTCTGTCTAGGACTTCTGTTGGCGGGTGGCTCGGATTGATCCGAACCTCGGATCCGGGGCGGTGCGGTAGGCTTGGATAAGCTTTTGTCTTGCACTTCTGTTCAGCTTGTATTCAGAATGACCGTGGTAGGTAGAGTGTGTGCTTTCATGGCTCTGCGAAAAGTACTTGTCATGTCGACTGTGCGAAAACCTCTTCTGTAGATGAGGCGGTGTAATGTGGTTGTCCGGCGTCGGTGTGCTGTTCCGTTCGACGAGGGTCGTCCCACTGTTCTGTCCGTCTCAATGTGCTTTACGGCGTGGGTTTTGATAATTTTGGAAAACCCGCATCTGCTCTGGAACGGGTCCCTGCGTGACTTTTAGAAAACACTCCATTGGCTTGGTGAACTTCTCTGATTGGTGACCTTATGTAAGGGCTTTGCAATGCGACGTGGAAAGATCTTTTTTTTGGACGATTCCGATTGACGGCCTTTTGTAAGGGCTTCGCTGACAAAAAAGTGTAGGGCGTTACAGCTGGGTGTGGGCGTTGTCGGGGAAATTATCGTTCACCGACATTGTTTACGACCCTCTCCTCTTCCGTATGTCTATCTATGTGTTCGTGTTGTGTAGGGAGTTTAATGTCGTCGAGTCCTTCGACAAGCATCGCCAGGACACCCGAGAGGCACATGCGCTTAGCGAAACCCTTTCCACCCTGTGCGAGATCGTTGCGGCATCATGACGGTCAAATGTGGATCGACGATGCACCCGAGGACGACTTCGAGGACGACCCATGGACGACCGTCGTCCCTTACATGAACCGGCATCTCGACGAATGGAACGAAAATGACTGGAAGGCGATGGAGCGTTCCTACCCATGGGCAAGCCATTACAAGTTTGCCAACATGTTGGAGTTCGGGAGCCTCGTTGCACTGCCTGCTGGTGTCCTCCATCGAAAGACCTTGGACGATAAGGGTGAACCGGTCCGCTTCCGTACCAGCTTCAGACGTCGCCTCCACTACGAGTATATCACATCTTCGCCACGAACTTGGGGATGTTCGCAGAAGCAAGAGTTGGTGGACTGCGCTCGTCATTGTTCATTCTTGGAACACTTCCCACCCGGTTGCCCAGGGACTTCTCCACAAGCTCTGTCGTACTGTTGTGTGCGCTTGACGGATGACGGATGTCCTTTCGCCAGAGTGCTATGTGTGGCTTCTTCAAGCAAAAGCGGGAAACTTGTGGATGGAGTTGTGCTTGTGTCACGAAACGAGATGGTGCTTCAGGGATCCAGGTTCAAGGCGGTCATGTCTCACCCAGATGTAGATGGGCGGTCAGACTTGGTGAGAGCAGGTCAGGTAAGAGTTTTTCTGTCATTATGGGATAATGTGAAAAAGAAAGTGTCTGAAATACGTGACTGTATAGGGAATTCCGTGGCACGACGAAGAAGGTTTGTTAGGATGAAATACATGTCCGTGTTTTCGGAGAAGGCAACAGTCGACGAGCCGCAGATCCATGTGTATGGATCATCTATGAATGCTATGTATGGCTTCCATTCACGACCTCGTCCGCGGGAAACCCCGTATGTCACAAGATACGGACGTGTGGTCAGACCTTGTGTTTAAGGGAAAAGGAGACTCCCTCGTGATGACTAAAGTTCACACCTGCGTTGTTGCATTTGAACTTGCGAAGGTGACGTTCTATAAGTGTTTCGGATTCATCCAAATCATCAATCAGATACATGCGGGTGCACCCAACGTTGAAGGCGATGCGTGAAGGCTTCCCCAAGGACGATCCTTGGTCAAACAACAACCCGTCGGATTCTATATGTGCGACTCGATAACTGCAGACCATCGAGTTTATGTTCTTGCACGCCTTCGAGGCAAACGACGCTTTCAAACAGTCCGCTGCCCTCTAGATCGTCTGGTACGGCCATGAAATGTGGTGCCCGTGTCTGTGGCCCTCTGTGCAACAGCCGCTGCATGGCAGCATGGCAGAAAATGACGTGAGCGGCGACGGTCGAGGCTGTAATCATGCTTGTCCACCAGAACATCTTGTGTCTCGGATTCATCCGAAGTCGCCGGCTGCACAAGCGTTTTCATTCTCATCCCCGCAAAAGTCGTCTGTTACCCAGGACACCCGCTGAAAGAAACTCCTCTTTGCATCAATACGCTGCATATGGGCCGATGATAAGCAGCCGCGCAAAATGCATAGCACATCCCGATTGCGAAATCGTCGGGTCTTTTTCTCGCGACGGCGAAGGCTTGTGATCACCCCCGACGACGACGACGATGGTTTTTGGATTGGATGCCATGAAATGTGGTGCCATGTCCGTAGCCCTCTGTGCAGCTGCCGCTGCCAGGCCGAAAGTGACTAAGCGACGCTGGCCGATGCTGCAATCGACCTTGTGCGACATGTCTTGTGTCTCGGATCCATCCGAAGTTTGGGGCCGCTCGAGCTTGTTCTTTCTCGTCACCGAACGTTCAACACCTGCACAAAACACAAAAAAACTTCCCGATTGGAACATCGCGGGGTCATCGCGTTGTCGACTCCCACATGATGATTACCGTCAACAGCGGCATGATGGCAGGTCCGCCTCTCCGATGTGGGTCTAACGGTGGATTGCATCAAATCTACTCTCAAAGATCCACACCGGAGAGGGGGGCCAGTAATCGACCATTGCTTGCTTGTAAAACATCATATGATGTGTCGATACAACCGACATTCAGAACACGTCGGTGAGCATCTGGTGCTACGCCAAAAAGTTCGTCATGCGGCCGCAATATTCCCCCACGATTGCTCATTTGGGGTTCTCGCGTCATAGACTCCCTTATGATGACTACAGTTAACAGCGGCGGGGTAGCAGGTCCCCTTCTCCGATATGGATCTCACGGTGGAGTGCGAAACTCTGCTCTCAAAGATCCAGACCGGGAAAGGGGGCCAGCTATCAATCACTGCTTGCTTGTAAAACATCATATGATGTGTCGACACAACCGACATTCAGAACTGGACGGTGAGCATCTGGTGCTACGCCGAAAAGTTCGTCATGAGGCCGCGATATTCCCCCGCAATTGCTCATTTTCGGGTTCTCGCGTCATAGACTCCCTTATGATGACTACAGTTAACAGCGGCAGGGTAGCAGGTCCCCTTCTCCGATATGGATCTCACGATGAAGTGCGAAACTCTGTTCTCAAAGATCCAGACCGGAAAAGGGGGCCAGCTATGAATCACTGCTTGCTTGTAAAACATCATATGATGTGTCGATACAACCGACATTCAGAACTGGTCGGTGAGCATCTCGTACTACGCCAAAAAGTTCGTCATGCGGCTGTGATATTCCTCCGCAATTGCTCATTTTTTGGTTCCCGCGTCATAGACTCCCTTATGATGACTAAAGTTAACAGCGGCAGGGTAGCAGGTCCCCTTCTCCGATATGGATCTCACGGTAGAGTGCGAAACTCTGCTCTCAAAGATCCAGACCGGGAAAGGGGGCCAGCTATCAACCACTGCTTGATCGTAAGGCATCATATGATTTGTCCATTACATCGACGCTCGAAACTGTTTGGTGAGCATCTGGTGCTACGCCAACAATTTCCGAACAAGACCGCGAAGTTCCCTAAGAGTGTTTTTGCCACCCCACAGCACAGACCGCCGACTGTTTGGCACTGCGGGAAGGTCGTCAATACGCGGAAGACTCGTGATCACTTCCGTCGTCAGTATGCGTACTGATGGTGTTCGGCATTACATACTTGACGCACTCGTGGTGTATGCTGAAATTGTCTAAATCTCGATTTAAGTGTCTCGGATGCATCCGACATAAGAACCTGCGACAATGCGGACTTGCCAATATTTACCTGCATCATTGTATCGGATTCATCCGAGTCTAAAATCAGTTACATATTTGCGCACCCGCAATTTCTACAGCATGTCTGATAGGTGACGGGCAAGGCTTGTAGTCCGGTTCAAGGCTGGTTGTGCACGTCTAATGTCAAGTCCGATATTTGCCTGCGTAGTTGCGTCGGATTCATCCGAATCTAAAGTATGTTACATACTTGCGGGCCCGCCATTTCTACACCATACATGTGAAATCGGTGAGGGTGAAGGCTTATCGTCCGGTTCAAGGCTGGCTATGCATTGTCTTTTTGTTTCGTTGCGCTGCTATAGTGCTCCCCAACTGGCGGACGCATCTCTGTCGCTTTATCATTGCCAAAGTCCAACAACTGCCTCGGCTGCGATTTGGGTCAACGTCTGTTGCTCTGCTCGCAGGGAAAAGTGGAATGCTTCACTGGTGTGATACGACGACGGTCGATCAAGACTTCCCTCCCACGCCAGCTTGCCTTCCGTTACGTTTTCGGCAGGAATTGGTTGGGAAGGGATTGATTATGGGCATTGGAGTTACGAGCAGTGCCGATAGTACTTCTTCCCGACTCGAGCCATGTGCTTCCTCTGAAAAACGGTCACGTGACTCAAACACTCAGCATCGACGGAAGAGAACACAGTTGTCCACCTCCACCGAGCATTCGTACATCTGTTGTGACGTGCTCGAAGACCACAAAAACATTGGAAGCAGGGACCAGTTTCTTAGTGTTGATTGTCCTTCCAGAGTCTCTTCAGCATGTTCTGAAATGACCGACGCTGGGATGTCGAGCTCCATACCCGAGGGGAATCTCGGTGACTGTAGTTATAGTGGGACGGAGTACGTGTATAGTGCGAACAATTGCACTACTGTTGGTTCTTCCTTGGGAGTTGCCGATGGGGGTGATAGGGTTTCCTCGTCTACCCCTCCGCAGTGCCAGGAGAGTCAAGGACCGTCCATGGATGAAATCACTGAATACTGCTATTCACGAGACAGTCAGAGCTCGCGCTGTCTCTCCGAAGAGGACCGCCACATACGGTACATTTTGTCGGCGCCTATGCCCGGTGAAAGAAGACCATATTCTATGGCAAACAGAGAACCGGCCAAAAAGACACAGCATCGGCGAGCTATGGGCAAACTCAGGATGCAGTTACTTCAGGCAGTGCGAGGGATGCTCTGTTGTAGGCGGATGTGTTGCCCTGAACTGACAGCCGAAGATGTCAGGCCGGTGCAGGAGGCATTCTACTCGAAAAGTTTCGCGGAAAGGACGAAGTGGTGGTTGCAAACCATACATGACTTCACGGTTATGGAAGGTGGTGCTGAGCAGGTCATGCATGTAGCTTGCAAACGGAAGATGTTCGTGCACGCGTACTGTGACATTCTCGACATTTCTCGTAACACATTCTATGTCTACAAAAGGATGTGCGATAACGGTGTTGTCGTTAGGGAGCCTGGGCACTCGGGCTTGTCTAAACCATCTGAAAAAGTCGTCACGATGCTTGCACTGGTGAAACGGTTCATCGACGACCACACCGATAGTATGCCGAATGACATGGTCTGGAAAAACGGAGTTTGTCATCCTCGCCGTAGGATTCCTGCGGCATTCACAAAACGAGCAATTTACGAATCATTGCGCTCTGATCTTTTGATGTGCCACTCGGAAGTTGTGTCGGAGTCGACTTTCTATGCTATGTGGAGTAAGCACTTCTGACACGTGAGTCTAACTATGTCCAACACATTCACGAGGTGCGCAAAATGTATATTCTACAAGCAGTGCATTGCCAAGTCGAAGTACGAGAGGGACCGTAAGAAATCCAAAGATAGGATGCGGAAAAATCAAGAGCTGCAAGTCAACCACAGGGTAGACTATAGCCGCTGCAAAATGGATTCCATCTTGTGGCAGTCCGAGTGTCTGTGCATCATTATTGACGGCATGGATTAAAAAAAAACTACCATACCGCATATAGGACAGACTAACTACTCGAAGGACTTGCACCACGAGAGGATGATGAAGACTGGTCTCACAGCCGTTCTGGTCTATGGCCGGGATCCGTCTATATATGTTTACACATATTTTCCTTACGACATACACGGTCCCAGTCGTACGGCGACGTGTTTAATGCGGACTCTTACAGAGATCCGATCCAGTGGGAAACCTCTACCGCTGTTTCTTCGTATTCAAGTTGACAACTGCTTCAAAGAAAACAAGAATAGATTCATCTGCGCATTGGCAGCACTTCTTGTGAAGTTCGGGATTTTCAAGGAAATAGAAATTGGTTTTATGATAGTTGGACACACGCACACAGATGTCGATGCCACGTTTAGTGTTTTCTCCAAGAAACTCAAGGACAATGATACCTACACAATGGATGAGTTGTTCATTTTGCTAGAGCGATCGCATAAGACTCCTCCGCGGTGTATTTTTCTTGATAGAATAGCAGACTGGAGAGGTCTTATTTACCCGCATGTTTCAAAGCGCATGACAGGGATTTCGAAGCCTCATTTGCTGAAATTCTACATGATAGGTGATAATCCTGCCATGTCCTATAAAGAGTATTGCACAGACGCTAAGTGGTTGCCCGAGGATGGTCCTCTTTATTGGTTCAAACAAACAGACAACGGTGGTTACGCTGTTCCGCAGCAACCTTTCGATCCTCTGCCGGTCCAACCGGCGTTCCTCGACGATTACAAGAACGGTTTGGAGGGTGTGAAGAGGTTTTTGAAAGTCTATGAAAAAAAAAGAGAAACTTGGATGACTTTCCGAGATGAAGAGGTGACTAGAATAGATAGGGCGTTTCGGTTTTGGGAAGATCACGTCAAACATGCGGGGGAACGGGGTGCCTTCGACACCAATCACCGAATTCTGGCCAAAGGCCACCCATGGCGTTGAAGACAGGAGTTCTTGCTCTGATTCGGATGCATCCGAATTACAGAGAGAACCTCTATTCGTGGGTCTTCAGAGGGACAAGCCTAAGGTCAGCTTTGATCCTTTCGAAGATGTGCATGTCGACAGTTTTGTCATTATACAACCGTCAGACGAGGACATGCATCAAGGAGTGCCTTTTTGGGTTGGCCAGGTTCGTAGTGAGGTTGACAAGAACGAAGATTCGTCAACTTACAACCAATTCAAAGTGGAGTACTGGGTTCCAATCGGAAAAGCGAGCGCACTAAGAGAATTGTATGCCGACGCCTGGGAAAAAAAATGGAAAAAAACTCCAGGGCACGAGGAAGAGTATCAACATGTCACAACCGTTGCATTTTCTTGGATGAGACAAACGAGGACAAATGTCTGCGAGTCCTCCAAAAAGTTTACCACCGGTCTTGTGATTCCTCTGAAAGTAAGAAAAAATACAATTCCTGCCCTAGAAAACGTCGTTGGCGCTCAAACACAAAGCGTTTCCGGAGAAGGGAGCGGACAGGAGGCTACCTCATCGAGAGTGTGATGGTTGTTGTCTTTTCGTGAGGAGAACGTATTGCCATGCTGGCCTGTGCACACCACGCTTGACTCCATGGAATACATCGCTTAATGATTTGTGCTCTCTGGGTTACGGGCTTTAAATCAACAAGAGTTCTTCATCAATTTTCGACATTGGGCGTGGGGGCGTTTTGGTCGTCGTAGCATCACCTCGGGCTTTCGGTCCTGACCTTGATGTGACGCTTTTATTGTGACTTTTGTTTTTTGTAGTGTGCATACTTTCCTCTTCTGACATACTTCGAAAACATGGATGATATTTTGGGCTACATTGAAATAAAAGTACCTGAACGACTAACGATCATCACAAAGGGAGGAGCGTTTCCTTTTTCAATATGAGAGAATCTTCAGGATCGTAACGGGAGGACGAACAATGTTTGTCATCATGGTGAGGTTTACTGATCTCAACATTTTGGACATGCGAATATATGAGCGTCGGGGGGAAATTGGATGCGAGGAGATTTTACAAGAGCTTATGTAAAAGCTTCAGAAGTTCTTTTCGCCTTGAGACGTGGTGTGCTCGGAGCAGGGGGTGACATTCAGGGTTTCTCGTTCTCCATTACGGAGTTTGGAGGTCTGCCTCAACCTCCAATCCCGGCTTGCATGGTGGACGGTTCGACATGGGAACCGATAGTGAACGCTCTGCGAAGAGGCTTCTTCTGAGGACTTCAACTTTTTAAGACGTTTGGTGACCAGTCTTACGTTTTTATATTTTTGTGTCATTATGTCGGATTTGTGACCATTTTCGTAATATAGTCATTTCTGATTACTTTTAATTTTCACTAGTTTGAGAAACGAGTCTCGACACTTCCCAAGTTTTGTGGTCGTCAAATTAGTTGAAATTTGCACACTGTAAAGTATTAACGAAAGCCACGAGTGCCGACCCTGGCTCATGGTCGGTTGTGGTTCGGATGCATCCGACCCAGAGAATAAGGATATTGTTACGACAACCAAACACAAGAGCGTCAAGAGGGAAACAGGATGCTGGGGGATTTTACAACACCTTATCTACAGGCTGCAGATGTTCTTGTGTCCTTGAGACGAGCTGTTGTCATGGCTGGGGGAGACGTTCAGGGTTTCTCGATTTCCATTACGGGTTTCGAAGGTCTGCCTCAACCTCCTATCTCGGCTTGCATTGTGCACGGTTCAACATGGGAACCGCTAGTGAACGCTTTTCGAAGAGACTTCTTTTGAAGATTTCAAGTCCGGGACACTTTGGTGACGAGTCTTACGTTTTTAGAGTTYCGTCAGGATGTCGGATTTGTGAATGTTTTCATAGTGTAGGCTTTTTTAGAGAGACATTTCGACATTTCCAAATTTTTGTGTTAGAATATCCGATTAGTTGACATTTCCACGGAAACTTTTTGGTTGATTGTGGACGGTCCGACATAGCCTTGCCAAATCTTTGGTTAATGGAAACTTTTGAGGTAACCGTTACGAATTCACAATATTGGGACCAGATAACTGTTATCAGTTTCTACGGCGTACTTCTCATTTGTCTCGACAATGGTTGTGTGCCTGTTTATGTAGGTTGGGTGTCCCGCTCTGTTTTTAATTTTTCTTCGCTTTTCAATCTAGTTCTCATGAATTATCAATTGTCTTCAAAATCCAGTGAGATCTTTCAAAATAATTATAAGGTGCTTGGTCACTTCAACATCTGATAATCTGTACACAGTTTGATTCGGATGTATCCTACGCATTCATTTGAGCCTTCTCCAATGCCCAATCCTCAGATGATAACGTCTCTACATAATATGCTCCCCACCACTGCACTCCGTACGATGCCCGTTTGTTTTGAGAAATGTTTGATAAAGTGATAATGTAAATGCAACCGCCATCTAGTTGAAATTTAAGACTGATAGTTACTAGAGTTCTTAAGAGGTTCCCGAGGGTGCACTTTTGTTTGTTAACATACATCATTTGATCTCGGCAAGGACAGTGGCGGAGTGGTGGGCTAAATTGGGTAGGGATGTTACAAGTTCATGGTTGCGAGGTCTTAGCCGGCAAGCGGCAAATGATAACATCTCTGCATAATGTTGTCCACCACTTCACTCCGCCCGATGCCCTTTTGTTTTAAGAAATGTTTGCTAAGCTATAATTATTCTTGGAATGATAACATATTGGTTAATTTTCCCTCGGAGGGTGATCCGGGCTATGTTCATAAGTTCATCCTTTTGATTGAGTGAACTTCAAGGATATTTAATGAATGACGCACGGTTTATAACATAACGGATTTTCTTCATCCGAATAATGAAATATTTGATTCAGATATATCCCAGTTTTACTATAAAACCAGCCAACTTGTGTATTATGGATTATATCGAAACATGTGACTCGGATGTATCCTGCTCATCCTTCTTGTATTCAATTAAACTTCAAAAATGAGTTATTCTTTTCACTCCCATGCACCGCCTCAACGAAGACTTTTTTTTTGTCACTCATATACGTCCCTCACAAGGGGAAACCTTCGATATGCTACGTTCGTACTTACTGTCTGAATGTGTGTCAGTTTAGTTGAGGATTTATCCGTTGAACAGGGACTGTTATCGTTGTATATTAATGTATAATCAACATCTTCTTTCGTCAGCCGTATATACCTTTCGAGTTTCTCGAACGACAAAAGTACTATTTAGAAAATAATGTACTATTTTAATGAATAACATGTTAATTCGAGATTGGCCATGACCTAAGTCTGTAACCAAACTACGATCATTCCTTGGTTTGGCAAGTTATTATAGGAAGTTCGTCAGGAACTTCTCATTGATTGTCGCTCCAATGATAAGATTGTTAAAGAAAGGCACTATCAGGTTGTGGAACAAGGACTGTGAGTCTTCCTTCAAAAGGTAAAATATGTTTTGACTCACTATCCTGTTTTAAAAATTGTTGATCCTTCACTTCCCTTTATTGTCACTCCTGATGCAAGTCAAGACGGGATTGGCGCAGTCATTCAACAGAACGATGGCAAGGGTTATAGACTCATCGAATTTATGTGTGCACGATCGTCATCAGAAAATGTCGCTAACTCCACTTATGAAAGAAAATTGTATGTCTTAGTCTGTGCGGTGTACACATGGAAACACTACTTGTTAGAGAGACACTTCACTGTACTCAGACCACTCGACATTGAAGTGGGTAAAGACACAGCCTAAACTCTCTGATAAGTTAGTACGATGGTCTGCATTCATTGATACTTTTGATTTTGAGTTGAAAACTATCAAAGGTAAGTCTAATGTGGTTGCAGATGTGTTATCAGGACGATGTGATTTCTTTGGTGCTATTGTCTCTTACTTAGATGTTGGGAATGATTTGAAAGATAGAATTCGTCAAGGATATGCTACTGACCATATCTGGAAGCCTATCATGGATGTCCTTGCGAAAAATC